TCTTTTACAATCTCTTGTGGTTCAGGTGCTTACTTATGCAGGAGAGTATGTTCTGAAAAACATTTTCACTGGTTTCTGCAGCTTCTAAGTTACACTGAGAAATTAGTGAAAGTAGATTTAAAAGGAAAGCTCTTGATCTAAATAGTAATATTCAACTAGAAATATCTTGCCCTAAAAGACTGCTGTACTTCTTTTGGGTTTCACAGCTGCTGTTTCTGCAAGATTCTTCAAGGGGTATAAAATCATTCTCTGCACCAAGGAATAACTTCTTCTTAGGCCAACAGCTAAGCATAGGATCCATCTTCATAAATGATACAAGCCCCAGGCTTCAAACATGTTTTGCAAAGGAAAGGTCAAAGGAAAGATTTAACTTCTTTCATTTCAAATTCTAATGTTTAAGATATTGACTGGAATAATAATGATTCTGTGACCTTTTGGCAATGTTTTCAATAAGGCATTGCAAGCTTTACTTTCTTGTTTCTTCTGGCATACAGGAGAAGGAAATCTTACTGAATGACTATCAAAAGCAAATGAACAAGTATTCCAGCAAACCAAGAACATATCAATGCATAAGTGGTGGAAGCTAAGCTCCCACACATTTTCTTGTTCACCATTCCCACAGTCAGATGTACAGAGGAGAAAACAGAAAAAGACAGAAGTGGGGAAAACTCACTGAGATAAAAACAGCCTAATAAATAAAAGTGAAGAAAAACAGAAAACCAAAACGCAAGTGATGCAGAAGTAATTACTTGCCCTCTCCTACCAGTGGATCAATATCCAGCCAGTTTCCAAGCAATGGCTGCTCTTAGAAAAATTCACCCTCTCTTCCCCCCTGTGCTTTCACCTGAAATTTTATAACATGTGATATTATATGGCATTGAGTATGCCTTTGGGACTGCTGTCCCAGCTACGTCCCCTCCCAGACTCTTAAAACCCCTAGTTTATTTGCTGGCGGGGTGGGAAAATGAGAAACAGAGAAGGCCCTAACTGTGTAAAAAACTGTTAGCAATGGCTAAAATATTTGGTGTATTATCAGCATTATTTTGGTCACAAATTTACAACATTGGTAATTGATGGTACAATAGTTATGCTATATGGATTGTGAGAGAAGACTGCTGTCAAAATATTTATCTATCTAAGAGATCCCTGTGAAGGAGAGAGCTGTTGGAGACTGAGGATCAGTATTGAAATGAAATGCTCAAATAAAGAACTTGTATGTTCACGATCTAAATTCTCTAATTAAGAATAAAAATACTCAGTTCTTCCACAAAAGCACCGTTGTGAGTTCCATAGTTGTATGAATATGATAAAAGCAAGTGTCAGTATTTTTTTGTGCTGGTATTAGGTAATAAGAACCTGTATTCAATTATAGTTGCCAAAGGTAATTGACAAAATGTATTCACTCTCAAGAAGATAAAATCACAGAAGGAGCAGGAACTTGTATTTTTCCATCTTGAGCTTTCCTCCTGAAAAACACCTGGGCACATCCACTGCAGATCACTGAATGTGAAGATTATCTGGAAAATCCCACAGGACCAATATAGAAAAAACTCATTTTGGAGGAAAGCGGGCAAGGAGAAAGGACAGCATTATCTTGCACTACAGTGATACTGCTTCTGTGCTCAGATTCTGAAGGGGATTCTGCCTCTGAGAGCAATTCTTTCTTCAGGCCACCATAAAATTGCAACCAGTGGGACTCTTTTCTTTACAGAGACCTGGCTGAGAGTGAAAATGTTTAGGTCCCAGAAGCCTGATATTAATATGGTAGAGGATGTTTGACTTAGCAGGAGAATCTTACTTCAGCAGTGCAAGAAAATGTCTTGCACATTTTTTTAATTGAATGATTAAAATTATTATTGTAATAAACTATGGACACAAACAATTAGGAATGGTGAACCACTGTAGATAAAACTAGCTTACAGAGCAACTAAATTTTTCTAATTATAATTATCACATTTCAAGGATTCACTGAGAAATTTACAAGCAACACTTAATAAAGGAATTCAGACACATGGTACATAAGCAAAGTCACGTAATTCTAGCTTTCAGTAATTTTCTTTGCATGCAATTTAAATATTGCATAAAACTTTGAATATTTTCTTTTAACCAGCTTACTTTTTTTTTTTTTTTTTTTTTTTTTTTTTTTTGTGACAGCCAAAATGGTAAAATCAGCAGCTGATTCTGTTTTGTTCACTTCTGTCATCTGCTTAAATTTCTTTTTTTTTTTAAGAGATAACAGTTTTACTGTGGCTTATATTTTACTCAAGGATAAGTTGTTCATTGCAACTTGCTGATTAAAAAATTAATTTATTTTTTCAAAACAGATTATTTCTGTTTATCGTAACTCTCAAATGAATCTTACATAAAGAAATAAATAGAAAATATTCACTTGAACTCTGCTGTTGCAGATTATCAGGTTACAACCTACAGGGGGGGAAAAAAAAAGTATTTGAATGTGAACTGTTTTGTTTTCTTTTCAAAGTTCAATTGCGCATAAAACAAGGGCAAGTATCAGAGGCATAATAAAGTTGATTAATGATTAAACAGAGGAAACAGGAAAAGTTTTAAATAACAACGTGTGTTCAAAGCAGAAGAGTAGTTTGTCAAAGCAAGTGAGATAGTAGTCTTAAGCTGCTGAATAGTAGTTTGCATTAAATATTGAAGACACTGAGGTAGAAAACTGCCCTGATTGTAGAAACAATGTATTAAGTGATCTAATGAACCTTAAGAACCTCTTTCTCTATAAACAAATGAATTTCCCTAAATTTTACAATTAGTAAAAGGTCTCTCACCTAAAAACTAAGTTTATTTTTCAAATAAGGAACAATTATTTGCTTACTACATGATGGTTGCCTACTGTATTGAAGAAAAGCAAAGATCAAGACAACTACATTAATCATTAAGAACACAGTGTTCCATTGTCATCACAGAGAGCCAAAAACATTATTCAAAAAAATGAAACAAATGTCCAACTGATGTCAACCCAGGCTCATTACTCGCTAGGTAGCGTAAGGGATTATTTTCCTTGAACACTTTTCCTACGATAGAAATTTGATAACACATTTGGCCTAGACCTCCCCTTCAAATCAGCTCGTAAGGCCCCAACATATTAATTATGAATCAAAAGCTGAAAAACACTTCAAGATCCAATATAATTTTTGTTTGACATTTTCATTAACAGCCTCCATACTTAGTTTGACCAAAACTAGCTTGTAAAATGAACAGAATGTTTACACACTGCAAAATGCTTATAATACATTTTGACTAATTTTGATAAAATGTGTTTTTAAACAAGAATTTTTTTTTTTAGCTGAAGACAAAAAATAAGATTTGAATTTCTTAGCATGTATACAGAAATCTTCCATAAGGTTATTTCTGATTTTCATTTAAATTAATACATTTAAAAAGTTAAAAAAAAAAATAAATAATTTTTATGAACTGCCAAATCAAGCCAAAATAAACAGAATTCACTTTAAAAAAACAATAGAAGAGTTGCTTTGTTTTATTATTTTGTTATTTTTACAGAAAACTTGACAAACATCAGATTAAACAGTGTGGTAAGCTTGCAGCCTGTTATATTGTAATAAAATTACTCTAGTGTTGACAACTGCTGGGTTGTACATATTTCTTTATGAGTCCTGTTTAAAAGTGTATTTATTGCATTAGTTATTAATGTTTTGGTATGAACAGTTATTTTTTTCATTTCCATTGGTCATGGAAATAGTAACAGGTTCAGCTTTGTTTTTAGACATACTTTGGTTAAAGGTACTGGAAATACTTCAGAAGATGGATAAGATATTACTGATTTGGCCATACTTTCATTAGGTATGAAATTGAATTTACCTTTCAAGTACATATTTCTTACATAACAGATTTTGGACACAAAAGTAAATACAAGAATCTGGCACCGCTTTCTATTAATGAGTGTGGAAATTTAGGTGATGGTGTGGCTACTATATTATCTCAGCAAAACCTTTCGGTTTTGGGAGCAAGACAGTTTAGAGTATTTTCTGCTTAAAGCAGTAACAAATACTTGTTACAAGTAGTTTTCAGAGCTCCTCTGAGGCACATGCAAGTACTGCTCTCCTAGCCTGGTTAGTAGATGCTTTCATCACAGTTAAGTGGCTTGCAGCAAGGTAGCAGCAAACCTGACAAAAAGTATGGATAGGCCTTTCACTCTAACATATTCACTAGCTTTTTTTCTATTACGCTCTCTGATCAATTTTTTAACATCTACTTGTAAATTCATGTGGATATAAACCACAATGAAAGAAACATAGTTTGATAAGAAATTAAACACTGAATCGAAATCACAGTTGCAGATAATTAACCTACCTCTGTGAAGAAGACGTATATGAGCTCAAATTAAAGGTTTTGTGATTCTGGAACAAAAATTCCCAGGCTGTAGGAAATAAAATAAAACAGTTAATGTACAGCTCACACCTTCTCATTTCCAGTTGCCAAACTCCAATGAAAGAATTCTTAAATGCTTCAATCACTCACTCCCCAGTATTAGATGTACATATAGCAGGTATAACACTACAAATATCTACTGCATCTAAAAGTTTAAATATCAATAGATGTAACAACACTGGACTTACGTGTATCTAACACCTCACATATACACAGTCATGATATTGTAGACCATGTTACAACTGTAGGTAATTTGGAAGATTTGGGTGGCAAACAGGAAACAGGGCGGCAGGGGAAAAATCTGCAGGATAGAAAATGGAATACAAGATCTTTAATAATGTCCTTACATTAAAGTAGCCTGCAGTGTGAGCAGACAGGAAAACAGGATGAGTTTGCAATTTTGAATCATTTGACTTTCTACTGTTTCATAAACTGACTACAAGCTACAGATCTGTTGATCTTTAAACACCCAACAGGTAGTCTTGCCTTGATTGGGTATCTTGTCAAATTGATTAATTCAGTCAGAACTAAAAAGAATTATGTGAAATAAAATTATGACACGCTATCTTCTTGGTTGTATCTTTCAGAAAATACACGTGAAAAGTATTTGTCTCCAGTACCAACTGTATCTACTTTTGAACAGCCACTTCTTCTACCTTTTAAAGAATAAGACTGGACTAACCATCTTTTTCCTATGGTAACTATAAAGTAAATATTAATGAGACAGTAAATACAAATTATCTTGTTTTTACTGTTACAGCTGTTATTTGTAATGGCTTCCAATTGCTTCCTCTCCTGCCTTGTTAAGCAGTCCTAGAGTTCTCTTTAGGCTATGGTCCCTTGCTTTATTCTTTTTTTTTTCTCAGGCTCCATACAGTTCATGTCTCTCAGCCTTTATCTCCATGATAATCCTCAAGTTGTTTGAACTGTTGCATTTGAAGACTTCCATATTCCTTTGCAGTGAAAAAAAAAAACAACATGCACATGTTTAAATATGTATGCTGGTTTATATATATATTAGGTATTTCCTTCCATTCTGATTCCACTTTCCTGTCTTAGAAAACCGACCCCGATTCTAGTGCCAGCATCCCCTACTTGTTCTCTCCTTGTCAAATCTCTTTACTAAGGTCTAACTTTTCTGCTCTGTCTTCCGGGAAGGAAAAATCAGGGCTAAGTGTCCTCCGGTTCTTGTTATAATACCTCTTTTATTTTTCTTTCCCAAAAATCTTGTTATCTATCAGCCTTTGTTTAAGGCCTAAATGGTGAACAGCTGCTTGTTTTATACTAACTTCCCAAATCAATTTGTTGTCTTCCTTTCATTGCCTTACAGAAATACAGAAATACTGAAAGGGATCCAAATGAAGGGTCAAAGTGGGGACACACTAAAATCACAGTTCACAGTGCAATAATCTTCCAGAGGAGAAAGAAACCTACTTTCTATCCTTTAATGGTTCACTCCATACAAAATTTTATTCAGGGCAGGAGGAGTCTTTTCTGTACACAAAAAATATTAGATGTAAAATGGCATACAATATTTCTACAGGGCTAAAGACAGAAATTTCATAGTAGGGAAGGAAAAATAATTCAGTGTAAGAGATACAGAAATTTGTTATTTTTTGGGATACATGGAAAGAATTGTAGGTTACTTACAAGAAATAATTGACTCTTGCATTATGTCTTACAAAATTAGCTTAAAACACACACACACACAAAATACCCTTGTCTGTTTAAACCATGTGGCTCCGTGATTTTACAAGTTGTCAAATGTACTTGCTCCACACATTAACATATGTATACATATTTTTATTATCTGGTTGAATGATTGGTAAGTCTTTTCTCAGCATAAACAATGTGTATGCCTACTATTTAACCTAGTAGTCACTGTTTTTCTTCTAGTGCTTATGTACCAAACACAGAAGCAAATCACTGTAAGTGGTCAGAAGTTCTGAAAGATTTGGAGCAGATCAAGACATCTGAAGTAAGTTCAAAAGAAGTCACTATTTCATAAGATCATAGGAGCAGACATAACTACACGTTTAGCTGTTTAGCACAGTACTCAATAAAGAGAGTCAGCGACAAGGAGTATGAAGTAGGATATTGTTTGCGTAGTCGTTTAGGGAATAGAAAGCTAAAGCGAACTGGAGATGAAGCTATTCTTTTTTTTTTTTCTTCCAGAATTTCTTTAATTGGATAAAGCAAAAAGAAAGGGGCAGAGGGCATGGGAGTCAGCCCATTCTGCAGGTTACTAGGTCACCTAGGTCACTTTCAGATCACTGTCTCACTGTGTTCCAGTACCTGGATTAATTGACCTGTTGAACTTGAATCCATGGCTCTAGTGTTTACTTCTAAGCCTGTTAGCTATTGTTCATAATTACAACTCTTGTTTCCTTTTAGGACATTGATGTCAGTTTATATACTGCTAACACAGATGAGGATGTAAGTATAATTAAAATTGGACTCAAACTGGTCTAATACGGTAACTTAATTTCTTTACTAGCAATTTTTTCCAAAGGTAGACTTGCACTCATTTGAGAAAAGTTTCAGAAACCAAATCATTTGCCTTGGAAGGCAGAATTCTGCAAATTAAATTACTTATGATAAATTATGTAAGCTGGTATTAAATAATTTTACTGAAGTAGCTGCTATTCAAATTATTCAACTAATCGGGATGGTCTAAAATGATCTTATCAAAGCAAACACTGAAAAATAATGTTGCTACTCATTTGTAATTGGAGAAACTGAAGGAGTGACAGAGAAAATACTTCCTAAGATTATTATTTAACACCACGCACTAGAATTCTATAATAAGAAGAGAAGTTACTTACTTGAGAAGTGCAATATGGAACGGAACTGTGAACATCTGCCAGTGCGGTTTTCTGCTTTTACAGCCTAGAAACAAATAATATGTAATATCAAGGATTTAGCCTTGTAATTGATGGAGATTATGATTTATCCTACAAGAAATAAATTCATTTTCAATATAATTGTTAACTAAGTTGTGGCTTCCATAAACTCATTCCTGAAGAGACTTTTCCATAATCTACTGTGGAATTCAGTCTTTATTCTGTGCAATCCTCTAAGAACATGAATCCAACCAATAACCTCTTCTTAGCCTTTACTTTTAGCATGGCCCTTGTGCAACATGAGCTGGGTTCACTGTTGTAGTGAAGTTGGCAGTAGCCTGCTCCTGAGACAGCCTCCTCCTGACAGCATAAACACAATGACTGTGCCAAACGCACACAATACATGATTCCTGTACACAGACTTAATGAGATTTCCTAGAAATAGCGGACTTACTGTATCTGTGCAAAATAATCTCAGTGTGCATGCAGAATATAGTAACACTGATGCATTCAGTGGACCTAAAAAGCCTGAGAAAGCAGACCCTGATGTATCCATGGAGTTAGCCCTGTACACAATAGGAAAAAAAGCTGCAGAACATACAAGTCCATACTCACACACCCATTCCCGTGACTGAAACGAGCTACTGAAGTTAATACATTATAAAGGCCAATTTCTTAGCTGGTAATGTCAGGAAGACTTTCTTAAAGTGGAAAGGCTTAATGTGAAAATCAGACAACCTGGAGCTTGTTTTTTGGTTTTATTGACTTGGTGGAAAAAAATGGTACTTTTGTGCCATTGGGTTTTTGTGGTTTTTTTTTGTTATTTGTAAAATACGGGCATATATCCACTTCTTTTTTCTCCTCCACTCTCCATTATTCTGAATAATGATCTCTCAATATAAGTGCTAGAACTACTAAGAATATTAATTTAATTCCATTAGTGTTAATTCTTTCCCATATTCCTATCCTAATTATTATTTTCCTGTGTTCTTTGTCAAGACATAATGCTTCACATTGTTATAGGAAATTGGCTGGCCTGTGTGTCATATATTAGCTCTTAGTTAATTTTTGCAGATATTTAGAAGTATTTGAATACTAATAACAGATAGTAAGTAAATAAAAATCACCACTTTCTGGTAAATTATATCCCACATTCACTTATCCCATTTTAATCTTAAAACAGCTACAACTTCCTTTTATTTATTTTTTTCCAGAAAGAATGCCAGGAACCCGTAATGAGATGCTTTTTTTTAGAGATGAAAGTGATTCTTCATGAATGTAAAATCAAAAAATGTAGCAGAACACAGGATGTATTCAACATCTGGAAAAATGGAAATGCGAGATTTGAAACTAGCCAGGTAAGTAAAACCAAAAGTCTGTGGATAAAATGGAAATGAGAATAGTTTCTTCCAAATCAGAAATTCTGTTTCTCATAGATTTGGAAGAGGCAAGATGGTATGTATATGAAAGCAAAGGGTAATCAACCAGTAACCCATGCACATAATACTGAGAAAATTACACACATAAAAAGGATAGAGCAGTATTTGGTGATTGTAGAAAAACACTCCCAGGACTCACATCAAAGAAAATACTTGTGACATGCAGACATAAATGTTTGAATGTGTATATATAAATAATAGTTTGTAACTTCAGTATCTAAACTTGAGTATGTTTACTGGCAAATAAAGAAGTGTCCCAATTTTCAAAGGGATTGGTGACTTAAACCTCTCTCTGAAGCACTGTATCCTTGAAAGGTGATCCTATTCAGAAATCAAGCCAGGAACAAAAGATGAATACCTTAGAAGACTCCAGCAGTGCTTTCTGTAGCAATTGACTGTGTTGTAACTATGGACAAAAACAGAATTAAAAGGGTTAGTTCTCTATCAGAACATATAGACAAAGTATCTTGTTTTACTATTGCATTTTCTTTTTCAGTTGAATTCCACAACGTCAAAAAAATGCAAAGAATGTGAAGAATATGAAGAGAAAAATTTTACAGAATTTATACAGAGTTTTCTGAAGGTTATACAGAAGGAATGCAAATAATACCATGACCAAAATAAACAAGCTGGGAACAATGACTGTTCAAGAAACATACCTCAGATAAATTGGATTGTCAATAACACTGGACTAAAAAGAACTTCACTTCTAGTCCTATTTGCTCAGAATAAAAAAAACAAAGAATAATACAATATCTTTAATGTGTGATGTTTTCAAAACTGCATACATACAAATGATAGCAAATTTGAAGTAAAAAATAAAGGAATTTAACATTTTTTTCCCCTGGATGTAAGCTGTTTTTATTTCCTAGTAAGTCCACTGAAGAAAAAATATGTCCAACTTACTAAGCTTTCAGTGAAATTTTTTGAAGATGTTCTAAGGACATCCACAGAGGGAACTTCTCTGTAAAAATCAATTCAGAGCTGACTGAATGGAGTTTCAGAGAAAAGCTCTTCTTTTATTATTATAATATAGAATTATCCCTATTAAAGCAACTTGCAGTAGTTGTTATTTTTTTATCTGAAATTCATTATTTTAAAGTCTGGGTTCCCAGAAGTTCATCCCTTGCTCTCTTGTTATGTCTGACGTGTCTGACAATTTTCTGTGCCTTTTTTTTTTTTTTAAAAAAAAAAAAAAAACAAAAACAAGCTGAGGTCTACTTGTCTTACACGTCCATTGGCTCTCTCGTATCCATTTCACTGTTTTCAGCTAAACCCAGACAGCTGTTTTACCTAGGACTTCAAAGTCCAAAATCAGAGTATTTATTTGAAGATTTTTCCTTGCCTGTTTTTACCTTTTGTATGAAAAGAACTCTGATATTCTCAACAGAAAGTAATGCCAGTGCTTGGTTCTGTTGTTCAATGATAAAACACGCTTCATTTGTTCATCATCATCATCATCATCATCATTATTTTGACCTCTGACACGCTCACTCATTATTGGATGCCTACCTGTGCGACCTGCTGTAGGGAACCTGCTTTGGCAGGGGGGTTGGACTCGATGATCTCTGGAGGTCCCTTCCAACCCCTACAATTCTGTGATTCTGTGATTATTGTAATACTACAGTTTCTTCAGCAATCACCAAAAATTTAAATCCAACTTCTAACCAAAACGGAGGAGCATAAATTTCATAGTCTGCATTCAGAAGACTACGATCATGATAATTATATCTTATGGTGTCCATATGACAAGACTGAACGCAAAGTCACCTGTCATTTGCTGCTCTGAAACGCTGAATATTTAGCCTTCAGCTCCTATGTTAACAACTTATTTCCTGATTCATAACCATATCATATCAACCACTCTCCACTATAAGCAGTTCTCTCCTCCAGGCACCTCCAATTCCCCATCTTCATTTGATAAATGACCGAGTCACTCAACTGTACGCTTACCAGAAACTAAGTCTCAATCTCATTAAGGCAACAAATACACTGCTTGTTACTCCCTTATTGTTGAGTTACTCCCCAAAGTCAATCTCCACCACTTTGAGGAGCACCTTCCAGGCAACCTGTAAACTAACTAATAAGTAAATTTAAAAGCACATCAATATTAGGATTAAACACTGGCAGAGGTACTACAGAAGTAATCTTCAAATCATTTGGCACAGCAAGGAAGAAAGTGTTCATTACGCAGTTTGGCTGAAGTAATCTGGTTCTATGTTTTAAATAGTTCCTTAAAACAATGACATGCATTTAATGTGATTTCATTGATGTCACACTAATAGGCAAAATAATGTCTGGTAACAACTGTGGTATGGAATCAAAGACACAAAGGGATTTTTCTTATTTTTAGTTTTGAGGAAGCTTGAGATACACACAGATACTTTTGACTCCTCTCTCTAAACTTCTAGCTATATCCTTCCAAGCCTACAAATCACGACCAAAAAGCCCATTCCTTTATAACAAGGTGTACCACATGTTGAAACCAGAGCCTTCTGTCTTCCTGCCTATGTATGTGTAAAATTTCAACTGCAAACCATCTTGGTAACTGCATTCTCTAACAACTAAAGGTACTCTAAGACCAACATCACCACCACCACTGACAAAACCCTAAGAAGTTCAGTAATAAAAGAACAGCAGAGAGCCATTTCCTTGGCTGAATATCAAGTCCATGAATGCTGAGATAATAAACCTCAAGCTTCTGAGAAGCAGGGAGTATGAATTAAGGAGTACATGCATCCAGACACTGCTTTTAACAGTCACCTAAGCCATGAATTCGCTTGTTTATGAATGACTTAAAAGAAGATATGCACATGGTGTATGTACTTATTTTACAGTCCTCTTCTACTTAAGGATCTTACACTTTATTTTCCTCCGATTAAACATACAGACATCACTCATTTTCACCCTAACTGCTTCCAGTAGGAAGACCATCATAGGTTCTGCAGCTGAAACAGCACTGGACTTGTGAAATACGTGTCTATTCCTTTCTTCCCACGTGCATCCCCATGCAAGAAAAATATTCACTCAATTCTAGCACAGCATGGTCTTTCCAGACCGCATCATTTTCTCTCTGCCAAACTGCTTTAATTAAGCTCTCCAACATTCTCAGTAGCTACCACTGAGACAGTGAATACAGCTTCAGTGCTGGCAATCCAATTTTTATCTTGTGAAAGCTGGAATGCTTACAGTTATCTGCGTATTTTTGGGCATCAATATGAGCTTTGCTGAAACAGCCATTCCAGAAGAGTACAGTCATATCTCTAGGCAAACCTAATTCTGCATCAAGGTTTCCTGTAAATAAACTAATACGTACGAAATAAATCAATTATAAGAACTATTACATGAAATAAATTTTATAATTTTTAGTTGGGGACGGGAGGGGGCAAAAAAAAAAAAAGTCTGACAAAAATATTTGATCCTCACAAAAAGCAAAATAATGCTCACCTTAAAAAGGTTTTTAACTCCTTAGATGCTGCCAGAAAGACTTCCAGACCAGTTTCTTCAGAATATTTAGGACTCTGGGACTTAGCTGGAATTCGAACAGTACAGCTGGACATTTCTGCTACAAAAACATGCTTACTTCAATAAATATTCACTCACAGCTGTTGCTGCAACTCAAACATATCCAAGAGAGCTCAGAAATCTATTCATGCTTAAGGTTCTGATTAGATCTTCTCTTATTCTAGGCAGAGTTGTAAACAGTTCATAATAGAAAATTTTATTTCAACTTTAGAAACAAGCTTTTAGACAAGTTACAGCTTTATTGTAAGACGACTGATGTCTTGTGCAAAGTTTGAAATGAACACCAATAAAAGTGTAACGAAGTAGTTTCCATTTTTCTTCTGTTCTAGAATAATGCTGTGTGGGGGAACCAGTGCAGACAGTACATGCATTACACTCCCAAGCTCTCTTCAGGGACTTCAAGGAAATTTAGTGTTTTTCTTCAGCATTACCAGAAAAATTACTGCAATTTTCAACTTTCACTATCTAAACAAATTACCAACATAATTCAAGTCTGAAATGGCTCTGTAAATTAACATTGCAAAATCAACTCAACATTAAAAATCTTGACTATATCAGAATTACTAAGACTAATGACTAGAACTATTTTCTAACTGATACATACCTTCAGCTATGTTTCTACAAAGAGTTTTACTGACTCATTCATGCTATACAAAAGTAATTGTAAAACCCACCATACACTTGAGACTTTTTTCCTTAACTGAAAGACCTGAAAACTTCTTTTGTCTTAAGACAGAGAGTTGAGTAGTATAAAATATATACAAATTTGAGGGAACTTTTTACTCCATCGTTTAATCCATCTGAAAATTTTCAAAAAAAATCCCACTCTGAAAACTTTCTCAAAATATATTTTAATACAGATTATTGTAAATCTTAGGCTAGGATTTCTGCAACTTCACTATACGTTTCCCTGCTGTTAACAATTAAATAGACCTCCAATAGGAAATCCTAAATGATTTTGGGTTAAATTAAAAAAAAAAAAGAAAAGAAAAAAAGAAAAAAAAGATAAAACCACATTTTGATAAGCCAAGTATACTAGTTGTATCTTATATGGGACTAGAAATAAATTTTATTTTCTTGCATTTTGTACATGACTTTTTTTGATTATCACCTCCTTCATATTCTCTCTTCATGGATTTCTTTCAGGTAGGGCTTAGGTTTTTCAAGAATTCTCTTAAATTCCATGTATATGTTAAGTCTTCAGGGTTAGACCGTGTCTGTAGGACAGAGACTGGCTATGAAATAATCAGAGCTACCAGTGAATGGTTTCCTGAGTTTGTTCTGATATGACCACCAAGAACTAATTCTCTTCATGCACGACAGGAAAACAATTGGCTGTAATTTGCATGAAATTTATTATAATTCCTTCAGCAAATAATGTTCTTTACCTCAGCCTGCTGAAACTATTATGACTGCAGACATGACAGTATGTGTTTATATATGATGGTTGTTCTCCATCTTAGGGAACAATTTTAAAGAGAACTAATGTTTTCACATTATATCTTCTGCATATTAAGTAGGGTGAACATCTGCTTGATGGTCAGTAGAAGCCTGCATACAGATTTTCTGGTATAAATGGTCATACCTGGATTAATGTTTTGATGGAAGACTACAACATTTTAAATGTAAAGATAGATTAGAAAATCTGCATTTAATTGCTCAGTGTGCTCTTCCCAGATTGAATCCAAAATCCCATGACTCTGTTTGGTACTTAACAACGGTATGGGCAATTAAGCAAAACTGAATAGTACAGAGAAAATAGCTCACTGCACATTAAAACACAGCACAGGAATCAATGACAATCTGATCTGTAATTCCAAGTTGTTCACTACCGGAATGTAACCAACTAACAATTGATCTGATAATTGAATATTTCACCTTGGGTATGTCCCTCTCGCTGGGCACTGGAAAGAGTTTCCTCTGGGGTAATACCTAAGAATGCTTCCTTTCTGCAAGTTCTTTCCTTTGCATGAGCTGTACTTGATATTACTTGAGTACGTTACGTTGTAAAATTACATTCCAATCAGACTCCAATAAAGACATACTTATTGTTCAGCAAACAAGAAAAACCCTTACCTTCATGATGGAATGGACAGTTTTTTGCAGAACTGAAGTGTTTTTTCATGATCCCTGTTTAAAGTTTCAGCATTAAAGCAAAGTCTACTAGTTTCTATCATATTGCAGCAATTATTTGCTAACTGAGGTCAGCTTGTAACCCTTCTTCTCTCTTGTTAAGACATCCCTTATAGCAGG